ATTCAGGTGCTCAGGCATGAAAATGTGCCGCTCAAACACTATACTTTTCTGCTCACACTGAAAAAAAATTAGAGGGAACATTGTACATCACATTGACTCTATTATCTCATTTTTTTTAAATTGAAGATATTTTATATTTTTCTGAAGGTATCTTTAAATCTCCTATTTTTCTTGTTTCTTGCAATCTCGAATGTTTGCAGATCAGACATTAGTGCCTTGCTGGCAGCCCATTCACACTAGAGTCAAGCATTATTATCTTCCAGAATGCAGTTGAATAAATATTACCACACGTTTCTCCAACTGTTCAGTTTTATTTATCCAAAGATTGACTACTCTTATTGCTGAAACCAAGTTAGCCGATTTACTGATTTCAGTGACGCAGTAGTTCATGTTTGCAACAACAATAACCAAAAATAGCAAAGTATTTGTGTTCTGCTATTCTTCCAGTATGAACCATTAGCATTGAATATCTAGATGACAGTATTGGAGAAATAGAGTGGAGTTTCAAAAGAGTCCACCTGCTACATGCAATAAACCACCCCAGTTTCAAAAGATGCATGCCTTATATGTGAATATACTGTATACAGCAATATGCTTACAGCAAAACTAGAGTTATTTCACAAGGATATTTTTCTGTGCTTGGCAGTGCTTTAGCCAATAATATATTAAAAATCAGGTCTATTCAAGTTTACTGTTCCTGTGTAGCATTATTTCTTGGTATTTTCTAAGTAGGAAAATTTCTTTCTTTTGGCAGAAGTTAACAAGCCTTGGCAACAGGAAGGAAATCCAAGTTTTGTTTCTCAAGTATGGAGTCATAAAGACTGGATTTAAATGTGGTCTTTGACATGCAAAATGCTTTACCTTTAGAGAGTCATAGTAAATTATTATTATTTTATGTTAGTTTGAAAACCTATCTTTTTTATATTGTACAATGTGCAATATAAAAGAATGAGAAAGAATGGAAGAAAGAATGATAGAGCCAAAAAAGAAAATATGTAAGGATAATTAATTTCCAGGGAAACTTTGCTTTCCTTTGCAAAATAAATCTTTGTAAAATCTCTGTCTCAAGGCATTATCCAAGTGGTTGAGATGTTGTTCCTTAGATGTTTACAAGTGGAAATGAGCCCAATCCCAGGTTTCATTAAATCAGTGGAAGTTTCCTGTGCTCTGCTCATCCAGGTTTTCAAATATTCATTACGAGTACATTTTGGAATAGATTTATAAACTGTAAATACCAGATGTTTGACTGCTTTGATCACTCTGCTGAACATCTAACTCCCACAGCAGTGTATTAAGCCTAAAGATATTTACCCATGTAGTAGCCTGTATTGCTATTCTTCTTCTCATCTTTTCATATTTCTCATCTCATCTTTCCTACTATCTTTTCCTATTGGTTTCTTATGATTAATTATTGTGACTATGATTATGACCTATTTTGTATGTACCCTGAGAGCTTATGCATTAGAGACAAATTCCTTGTGTTTTCAATGTGTCATATTCCTTGTCTGTCCAATGTGATCCATGCCCCAAGGAGATATTTTGGATTCAAACCAGTTACAGGTGTACCGGTGCCTGCCAGGCGGTACACCCCGGTACAGGTGTACCGGGTACCATTCCAGTACAGTGCTCCAGAGGGCCCACCCACCCACCCTCCTTACCTGTATTTGAGCTCTTTGGGGCTTCCACGCACACGCATGGAGTGTGCAGAGCCTGTGCGATGCTGAGCAGCTGGAGCATCACGGAGGCATTGCAGAGCGTCACAGGAAGTAAGGACGCATGCGCGCACTGATTCAAACTCATTCTTGGGATTCTTAAAGAAAATAAACCCTCAAGTCCAGTTCTTGGTCACACCATTAACATATTTATCCAGTATTTTTGGCAATGATATATAAATTACTTATTATTACCTGCCTTTGGGATTTTTTTAAAAAAATGTTCCCAGTCTAACTTGTATTCCTGAAGTTTGCTCAATTCAGCACTTTCTAGGTCCAACCCTAGTTGGCTTTTTCAAGACCAGCCATTAACAGTTTCATGCTGCCACCTGCTGTTAACAAAATTTGGGTCTGGCCTTGGGGCTAGAACATTTATCCTGAATCAGTAATTATAACATAGTACAAATATTGTCCAGGTTGTCTCAAAAAAGTGCTAGCTTTCAAAGAATCAAGAAAGAAGAAATACCTATTTTCTTCACTATTTGGATCCATATGCAAATCAAATAGTTTGTTTTGTCCAACTTGCCATTATGTAAGAGTATTTGTGGGGAAATCAAAAGTAACTTCCCCTCCTCTTTCTCCCTTTGCTTCCATTGTTTTGAGACATTTCATCTAAAGCAGCAGTTGATGTGCTCTTTAGGAATAGCACATGTTCCACTGCCACACTCTTTGCATCTAGATATGAAGTTGCATGCAGGGCAGAAGGAACAGGAAAAGGAGCTTCTCTCTTCTTCTTCAGACATTGGTCCTTCTTCAGGAGACTGGTTGGGAGAAGGAAGGGATCTTTTATTTCCTGAGCAACTCTAATCCGACTTGGGAAACAAACCAATTTATTTGACATTATATGCATGATTGAGGGAAAGAGGAGAAATCAGTCATGGTTCTTTAGTACTTCAAGATTATTATGATGCAGATGTTAAAATCATTATTAAACATGTGAAATATGTAGATGAACTCTCCTGCTAAAAAGGTAAAGGTTTCCCCCACGCATAAATGCTAGTCATTCCTGACTCTAGGGGGCAGTGCTCGTCTCTGTTTCAAAGCTGAAGAGCTAATGCTGTCTTGAAGACGTCTCCGTGGTCATGTGGCCGGCATGATTAAATGCTGAAGGCACATGGAATGTTGTTACCTTCCTGTCTCTATTTTTCTACTTGCATTTTTACATGCCTTCGAACTCCTAGGTTGGCAGAAGCTGGGACAAGTAGCAGGAGTTCACTCTGTTACACAACGCTAGGGATTCAAACCATCAAACTGCCGACCTTTTTTATTGACAAACTCAGCATCTTAGCCACTGAGCCACCACAGTCCTACTCTCCTGCTATAAGAATCTTTATTTTCTGGGCTTTTTTTTTCAAATTCTCTTTTTTCCTTCATTGCATCACAAATGACAGCCCATTTTGATGGCATCTGCTACTTCCAGTCACTTGTCAAAGAAGGGTCAGGTCTCATACATACCGTTGCAATTGCCATCTTGCCTTTTTTTGGTCCCCATTTCCCACAAATTCCCTGCTTCCAGCATTGCCTTATTATTTATTATCTGTGTTCTGTTCGTTTACATAGATGACTGACATGGATAATTCTATTTCTGGCAGGGAAGGCCGTTCTAATGCCCACTTGAAAGGAGATTTCCAAAAAATTGGAGATGTTATGCTGAAGAATATTCAGAGTATGAAGGTATGAACTAGATGCGATTATGTGCTAGCTGTTTCTTGGAAGGATAATCATGCATGAGCTTCTGCTATATTTGCTCACTGAAATTAAGACTAGTCAATGTATTTCTGAACATTTGGTCTGAAGAGATAACAAATCTGTCTGTGTGAAAGCAGTTCTTCAATTCTGCTCCGTTCCAGCCTGATTTATGATCCAACACAAGCATTGAGTGCCTTTTTCCTACACACTGTCTCCTCAAGGCCTTCCTACTCTTAGCTGTGCTCGGTCATCCTATAGTAGCTGGATCCACATATTGATTCGTGGTTTGTTTGAATCATGATCAAATGAATAAAAATATAGTGGTTGAGTTCCCACAGAAAATTAAGCCAAACAGTCAAATTACACTAAGCTTGTTGGGAATGGAGTATTGAACTGGGAAGAAGATACCTTTAGGCTGATTCTGCTCTTTGTGGTGGCCATCAGAGACTTCAAGAATGTATGACAAAGAAGACTCATAGAGCAAGAGTAGAAAATGTGTGGCTCTCTTAATATGGTTGGATTATAATAATCATGGTACCTGACCATTGATTACTTCTCTGGGGCTGATGGAATTTTGATTCCAATAATGTGTTAAGAATTCAGACAAGGCAAAAGTTCTGTAAAAGATTCTAGTCTAGATCCGTGGTTCCCAACATGGGACCCAGAGGGGCGCAATTTGATTTTTAATGAGGGCAATTTGAACCTTGTTTAAACCAGGTTAATGGCCTTTTAGGCTTCCTCCACGTGAGTAGAGTTCACTTTTTGAGTAAAGTAAGAATTATATGTCCCAGGGGGGGTGGATATCAGTATTTTGGAGATGCTTAGGTGGGGCATGGCCAAAAAAGGTTGGGAATCACTAGTCTAGATAATTTCTGTGACTTGGTTGCCCTTCTGCGTATCCTGGGAACTCTTCGTTAGAAAAGCAAAAGGGTCCCACACTTTTTGCACCTTAAAACCGGACTTTGCCAGTCATCCCAAGTGTAATTGAAGGTATAGCTCCAGGGGCTTCACTTTGGAATTACTATGAAGGGGCAACCAAAGATAGATCCTTCTCAGTCGGTCTCCCGCACACCCACTTCTAGAATCTCCTTGTGAAGGCTTGTCTAGCCTTTTATCTCATCTTCTTTCAACAGTGGACAAGACTCCTTTTCTCAAATTTCTAATACCTGCTGAACCTCCTTGGAAATTATTATCATTTCTTCTATGTTTGATTCATTGGCATATTGTATTACAGTCTGGCTTTTATTGTGTTGTTTTTTCAATCAAAAATTGCGTCACAGCAGATATTGTGTGGAAATAAACCTAAATAAACAAGTCTTTCCTACATGGAGTTACCCTCTTTTCTCTCTCTCTCTCTCTCTCTAGCAACTAATGGTTCATTTGCGAAAGCACAGTGAAATTCTGCTAGAACTGGAAAATGGAATCAAGAACTCTCGCAGGCTGGAGGCCTTATGCAGAGATTTTGAGATGCAAAAAGTCTGCTACCTTCCCCTCAATATCTTCCTTCTCAGGCCACTGCATAGGCTGATGCACTATAAGCAGATAATGGAAAGGCTCTGCAAACATTATCCACCCAATCACGGGGACTTCAGGGACTCCAGAGGTAAATGCGTGAACCCTTCCTGTAGCAATTCTCTTAATTTTAAATTTTGGAGCAAGTGACTTGACTGTTTTCTTGTAGAGCAGGAATCTAACCTGGGTAACAATGAGTACTTTGCATCTTTTAACAGAAAAAAACATTTGTTACAGGGATTTAAAATATGCTTGTTTGTTTGTTTTCTGTATTTGCTTTATTGTTTCTGTTGAGTTTTAGTTATAAGTCCTGAGTCTTTTCATTTTGGCAGCATTATAAATTTAATAAAATAATAGCAACAATAACACATGAAGTGGGAAGGCAGTAAATGAGTCTGGAAAAAAATTTCTTGAGATTAACAATCTTACAGAAAAGAGCAGGCAGAGTGAGGAAATACAATACAATACAATACAATACAATAGCAGAG